TGTCAATGGCTGCCGCGGTAGCATTGCACGGTGGCTGTCGTTTCGGCGATTGCGCATGGGTGATAACAGGCTTTGTCGTCACCACGATTGCTATCATCAGTGGCTGGCGACCCCCAGCGCGCAGCACTGGGCCCCGTCGAATTTTCTCTCGCTCGTGACCCCCCCCACGCACGCGCGCATTCCCAATGCAGCGCTTGGTGGCCTGATTGGGAACTCCTTCGAAGGTGTCAGTGGTAGAACTCGCGCGCGGCCCATGGCAGCGCTTCGTGGCCACGCATGAAGCTCCACCGACAGCAACAGCGGCGGATCTCGCATGCGCCCCCGCTCAGCGCATCGCTTCGAAGCCCAAAGCGAAGCGCCACCTGAGGTCCCAGCGGCGGAAACCGCATGCGCTCCCCCCATTCAGCGCAGCGCGCGGTGCATTGTGAGCTCCACCGAATGCCCCGGCGAGGGAATTCGAATGCGTTTCCCGCGCCCGCCACGGTGGTTCATGGACCCATGGGGGGCCCCATCGAAGGCCCCAGTGTTAGAATTCGCTGCGGTTTCTTTATCCCGCGGAGCGCTTCGCAGCCCCATGGGGGGTTCCACCGCAGGCCCCAGTGGTTGCGCTCGCATTCGTGAATCCAACCACGTACAGCGCCTCGCGGGACCATGGGGGCCCCGAGCTTTGACGATGCCTCTTCCGCGGATTTGCAGAAGTCACGCGGTCGGGTCTCTTGCCAAGAAAACTTGCTTAGAACGCAAATGTTGGCACCGCGGGCGCATCCGTGATGAGATTCCGCCCAAGGGGATCTGGACGGGCTCGTTCGCGCTTCTCCGGTGGTTCTTTGGCGGGGCATCTCTTGGACATGAAGGCGCGTAACGCGGTGGCCGCCTCTTCTGGCGATTCTGAAGTCCCAGGGGTCTGGCTTTCAAATTTTGGAATTTCGAATTTTTCGCGCTGGAATTTCGGAATTCCCGGAATTTCGTTTTTCAAATTTCGGAAATTCCGGAAGTTCGTTTTTCCAAAAAATTTCGGAATTTCCGGAATTTAGTTTTGCCTGTGATAAACCAGCCGTTTTGAAATTTCGGAAATTCCGGAATTTCGTTTTTAAAATTTCGGAATTTCCGGAATTCCGTCTTTCAAATTTCGGAAATTCCGGAATTTCGTTGTTCAAATTTCGGAAATTCCGAAATTTCGTTTTTGATAGTTCGGATTCTAGTAGGCGAAAGCATGATATATTCATGCGCAGTTGCGCGCGATCGCAATGTAGCCAGGCGAATGGGGGATGCAGGAAAAACCTCGGTGGCGGAGGAGGCAGATAATGAAAGTGCGTCAGAGAGACCAGTCGGCGCTTTAGACAGCAGAGTGGCGAAGTCACTGAATTAAATGTAAGGGGAATTGCGGGGCGCGCCAAACATGTCTCGCATTGTGTTTTTTACTAGGCAGCGCAGCTCAGCGCATCTGTTACGATGATTGTTTCGTGGGCGGGGGGTGGAGGTTGAGCGTTGAAACAGAGGCCGCCCTACATCGCAGTTTTGGCATGGCGGCGCATTGAAATCGCCGCGGGCACCGTTTTGACTTCCAGGGCCCTTGTCGGCGGACGTTTGAGCAACGTGCAGAATCCTATGTTTCCCCACGCCCTGCCCCCAATGCCTGCCCAGCCCATTCGCGCCCGCATGCTGCGGGCCACTTTGCCGCAAAGCCGCAATTCGCATGTTCTTTTGCGCCTAGCTAGGCCGGCCCGAGGAAACACCGATGCGACCGTTCACGCTTGCCTGTGGAACTTCGCCGAAACAGCCCGACCATTGACGCATGATATTCCGCGCGTTGCGCTCCTTGGGCCAGTGGCCGACCGAGTGAAACTTTCTTTCGTGGGTCATGCAAGTCGGGGATGGAGCGCGCGCGAGGTCTCTGCTTGTCGCCGGGCTGCAAAGTAAAAAGGGCGCATGTTGATGCGCCTGATTATTAACTCTACGCGGCCATGCATTCTTGTGCTCGGCGTCATGTCCAGTCCGCGTTTTCCATTCAGCGCGTTCAAACGAATCCGACGATGGGGGGCGGACTTCCAGCGTCCGTTTCGCCCCCCGTGACAGAGTCGCGCGGCTCAGGCTTGCCGCGCGCGCCCATGCGCGTGGCGTGGCCAGGGGGAGGCAAATAGGAAGTTATGTTTCCTTCGGAAAGCGATGGGGCAATTATGCGGGGAGCGGTGTAACAGGAAGGATCGGTAGAAGAAGGTCTTTCGCATTTTGACGAGTCGGGGGGGGGGGTCATATTCGCAGGCCTTCTGGGGCACCGAGCGTTTCCCGCGATCCGACGTTGGGCTTGCGCGGAACACCTTCTCAACGCGATGATTGCGTCAATCGTGCCAATGTTTCTGATTCGCGCTTGTGTGGCGCACTAAAGGCCCACGTCCGCTTTGCACTACCATCCGATCGTTTGTATACCCCTTGCATTCATTCCCACCTCGCCGTGGCCCACTTGGAGCAGCGGTGCCGGCGTTGCTTTGGATTCGGTCGCGTGCGTCGCAGATGGCGACGCAGCGAAGTCGCCCATATCGTTGTTTCTATGGGCATGCAGGGCGTCCACACCACACCCATTTACACCGCACCCCTTTCCATCTTCTAGACTGGTGCGGTTTAGGAATGCTGGGACACGATAATCACGTTGATTCGCGGTGCTGAAGTCCCAGGAACGGCTTGATCGCACGATTTGTGATTGTCAGGACGCAACGATCACGTTTATTCGCGACGTTGACATCACAGGATTTGTGTTTTGGCGGTTCCTGCTCCTGATCCTGCTCCTCCTCCTCCGCCTCCTCGTCCTCATCCTCCTCCTCCTCCTCCTCCGCCTCCTCTTCCTCTTCCTCATTCTCTTCCTCCTCCTCATCATCATCCTTTTCCTCCTCCGTTTCCTCCTCCTCCTCCTCCTCTTCCTCCTCCTCCCCCTCCTCCTTGTCCTCCTCCTCCTCCTCATCCGCCTCCTCCTCGTCCTCCTCCTCCTCCTCCGCCTCCTCCTCCTCCTCGTCCTCACCCTCACCCTCACCCACACCCTCCCCCAGCACGCCACCTCCCCTTCCCTCTCCCCCTCCCCCTCCTTATCCTCATCGCCCTCCACCCCCACATGTTATTATTGATTCATCTTAGTGTTATGGGTTGTCGTGATATGCCTCATAATAATAATGCTGGTGGTGCTCTTGTTTCTCTCATTTTTCTTACGACGATGCTCAATATTATTACTGGCAATCCTATAATCATTCGTAGTGTTCTTCTTAGTTTTTAATGTCATCATCAGCATCCGTATAATACTTAGCCGTATCAGTGTGATTGTCCGTATTACTCTTCCTAATTAAATCGTTATGAGTTGCATTATTAGTACTGTTCGTCTTGCTCGTATGATGTGTCTGCTTCGTCTTCTTCGGATTCGTGGAAATAAGATCCTGCTTAATGGTAGGTAACATCTGTTCTGAATACTCGTATGGCTAGTTTTCTCAGTTTCTTAATGGTAATCGCATCTGCCTTGCTGGTTCACAATTCCGTGCTAATATGCGGATTCGTGGTTGTATGAGCGGGCCGAATACCCTGCGTGTGATTTATACTGGTTCGCCTTGTTCTTGATAGTATCCGTAATACTACCCTTCTTTTGGTTATCCGAATGCTTGTCCGAAAGATGCGCATTACTATCATTACCCGCATGTTTCGTAACAGGTGCGTTGTTTTGGATATGGGTAATATTAAACGCCCTCCCCCTCCTCATGATCTTCCTCCTCCACATTCTCTTCCTCCTCCTTCCCGGAAGGCATGCAACAACAGCAACCGAAAGAATGATCAGGACGACTTAAACAGAGGCATCGCTAAACGGGTGCACAGGCGCAAAGCTCAGCACGGGACGCGGTGAGCGCGAAACGAGAGGGGACGAAGAAGGGGGGAGGAGAGGAAGCGGGAAAGAGAGGGAGAAAGGGACGATAGAAGGGGAGAAGGGTAGACGGAGAGGGGGAGCGCGCAGTGAACGGGGGGGCGGGAGGGTGAGCTGCGCGAGCAGGATGAAAAACAGGGAGGGGGGCCACGATTGCACGGCAACCCAAAACTGCAAACGACACACAACACAAACAACCTGAACCGAAACATAAAATGCATTGAGGCTTGTCTGCAGCTTCCGGCACATTTCCTGCACGAGCTCCCCCCTAGACAGGGGCACAACCAATGAAAAAAGAAGAACTGCATTGCAGGGGCGCGTCGCTATATTGTACCCTCTCCCTCACTGCAAGCCCAAGCCCCCTCGCACCCTCCATGATCCACACACCTTCACAGGAAGCCAGCAGGACCTCTGGCGACCAGCACTTAGAGGCAAAGTCGCAGCGATGCTCATCGCCTCCCAGACAATTACCTTCACGACTCCGACCCGAAACATCATGGAAGCAAACAGCCAACGGCACGATTGCAATCAGAAACTCGATATCACATCGAAATCAAGCAAAGTCGCTCGATTCCGCAAATATGCTCTGCGGGTAGAGAGCCCACCCACAGGGGACCACCAGACCACCATGCCCCCGCCGACTGTGCCCCCGTGCCTTGCGCCCTGAGGACATGCAAAACGCGACTGGCAAGCGGACGGTGAGCAGCCCGCGAGGGCAGAGAGAGAAACGGCGCCAACAGCACGGCCAGGAAGATCTGCTCCGCGCGCCGTGGCGGCGGCCCGCCGACACGCCGTGCCCCGCGAGCGGATGGCGAGGTGCGGGAGGCCGAAACCGGGTCGGGGCGCTGACGCCTGGGAATCGGAATGCGTGGCCGGCGTGTCGCGCGGACGCGCGGTATAGGCCGAAACCGGCGGCGCGACACGCCAAGCTCAAGCTGCTGACCGCAATCAAGAATTAGAAGGCGGGCTGAAACCAATAGTCTTCTCCTCCTCCTCCTCCTCCTCCTCCTCCTCTTCCTTTTCCTTCTCCCTCCTCCTCCGAATTCCTCCTTCTTCCCTCCTCCCTCCAGCGCTGCCATCCGCCCCGCAGCGCGGGCGGGTGCTC